TGTGAGGGGGAGCCCCATCCTGCGTGAGAGGTGTGATGAAGACCCATCCGCATATGGGGTGTGGGGGGAGACCCATCCTCGGTTTGGGGTGTGAGGGGGAGACCCATCCTGCTGAGGGGGTGTGAGGGGAGACCCATCCTCTGATGGGGGGGGGTGGGAGACCCACCTGCATGATGGGGGTGGTGGGGACCCATCCTGCGTGATGGGGTGTGAGTGGGAGACCCACCCTGCTGATGGGGTGTGAGTGGGGACCCATCGCATATGGGTGTGAGTGGGAGACCCATCCTGCTGATGGGGTGTGATGGAGCCCCATCCTGCTGAGGGGGTGTGAGGGGGAGACCCATCCGCATGATGAAACAAGCAGGTTGCAACCAGAGTTCAAAACAGAAAATGTAAAAAAGGCATTCAGCAAAATTTAAATAAAAACAATAGACGGGTCACAAAAAAAGGGGGGACAGCAAGGGCAGAAAGGGAACTAGCACCCTTAAGGTTTACTAACAAAATAGCAGGGTGAAAGAAATAAGATAGAGAGAAAAAGTTAATTGCAATGCGGGAAACATAGATTTTATTGCTATAACAAGACCTGGCTCAATCTGAAAGATAGAGAGATCCCTCTGAATGCACATACAAGACAGGGCCCAAATTTTATAGGGAGTGCAGTAACCTTCTATGGGACAAATTCGTAAAGGCATCTACAAACAAAAAGTTGTCTAATGGAGTTTCAACTATAGACAGTTTGCGGAGAAATTTTTGACAGGAAATTTAGAGTCAGGTACTTTTTGATACGATCCGGGTTTTTTTTTTTAAAAAAAACTTTGTGACAGAGCCAACTAGGGAAAAAACCCCTTGACTTGGTTCTTGCCAGTGGGGAAACACAATTAATAATCTTGGGTTAATAGGGTTTGGGGGAAAAGTGATCAAAAATCACTCATTTAAATAATCATGGAATTTCCCCCTAATAATGGCAATCAAGTCTCTTCCCTATTTCCCCCTTGGCTTATTTAAGACTGAAAAATTACTTAGGGGGGCTGAACGGGAATGACCTACAAGGGGGTCAGGTAGGGGTGAGTTCCCGAAATGACCTTTCCGGGCATAGTTCTAGCGCCATCAAATTATGTTCCAAATAGGGAAATCAGATCAAACAAAAAAGATCCTAAATGGGTAAAAATAGATTAAAAAAACGATTGGTCAAAAGAGAGGCATATATAGCAAATCAAAAGAGGAGAGGGCAATTAAGAAAACGTATATTTTATTTTAAAAAGAAAATAAAAAAAAAAAGGGAATTTGAAAGCAAAAAGAGATTATGAGGTTAAAGTTCAAGAATCCAAACTAACCCAAAAGGATTTTTTCAGGATACAAAGTAAAAACAGGGGCAAGATAGGGCCCCCTCAAAATTCCTCGGGGCAGCTCACGGACAGTGATAAGGAAATGGTAGAAGTTTTAAAACATACTTCCTCTCAGTTTTTACACAGGAGGAACCAGCGATATTCCAGAAATTTTAAATTATGGGGAACAGGCATAATAAAATGTGCACGATTTGGGTCAAGTGACAGGTCCTTTGGCAAATAGATAAATTAAAACCCAAAAAATCCCCCGGGCCCCGAGAACTGTAGCAAGGGTTCTAAAGGAAGTAAAGAGGGAGCTAGCAAACCTTTGGGTAATCTTTTCAACATACACTACAAACGGCAGGTGTCAGATAAGTGGAAAAATGGCAAATTGTACCTATTTTCAAAGCAGGGGACAGGTCCTTAGCTTTAAACTAAGACCAAAAGCCAAACCCCATATGGGAAAAATTTTTGGAATCAATAATTGCCGAGGGGAGCTCGTAGCCACCCCTTTAAAAAGCATAAATTAATCAACAATCCAGCAGGGTTTTTCAAAGGGGCGTTTCCCCGCCTTACGAATTTATTAAACTTTTTCACTAAGGTATTTTAGGAGGGAGATCATGGTAATGAATTGATATTTTGAATGGACTTCAGTAAGGCTTTTTTACGGGTCCCAATCGAGACATTGAGGAAAATTTAAAGGCACATGGAATAGGGGAAAAATTTTTTTCCTGGATAGAGGCTGGTTGACAAAAGGCAGCAAGTTTTTGCATAAATGGGGGAAAATCAGAGGGGGGAAGCGTCACGAGGGGTGTTCCACAGGGGTCAGTTTGGGCCCCCTGCTGTTACAATATACATAAACGACAAGATGGGGGCAAAAAGACGACTCAGAAATTTTGCCGATGAACCAAAAAGGCCGTCGAATTCATTCTGACGGGGAAATTTAAGCACTCCGGGAAAGATTTGAGTGAAACGATGCAGTGGGGGGGAGAGGTGGCAGATGCAGTTTAATTTAAGCAAATGCAAAGTTCTAAATTTTGGACAGGACAATAACCAGGCCATATAAAACTAAAAAAAGTGGATCTTAATATTAGGGATTGCAGAAAATTAAAGTTTTGGTTACAGTAACAAAACAAGCAACAGTGCATAAGTTTCGCAAAAGCTAATAAATCCTTGGTTTTAAAATTCAAGAAGCATAAATAATAGGATCCCAGGTTGTTTTTAAAACTCTTACATCCTTGGTTAGCTCTTTTAGATTACCTCACGTTTTCACCGTATTACAGAATGATATAAATTTCTGGAAATGTAAAAAGGAGGATGACGAAGTTGACCCCATGTATCAGAAACCTTCCCTATGAGGAAACTAAGGGCCCTGAATTTTACTCTCTAAAAAGAGGGTAAAATTGGGGGGATTATTGAGGTGTATAAATGGAAGACAGGAATAAAAAGGGGATTAAATAGGGGGTTTGAAAAACTAGCCTAGACAGGACCGCAGCAAGGGGGGGGTTTTGTTAAAAAATCAGTTCGGGAAGGAATAGGAAAGTACTGGTTTGGTGGATGAGTGGAACAAACTCCCAAGTACAGTTATAGAGGCCAGAACTTTGTGTAGCTTTAAAAATAGGTTGGATAAATACATGAGTGGGTGTGGGTGGGTGTGAGTTGGACCTGATTAGCTTGTGCTACCAGGACGGTTGCCGTGTTCCTCCCTTAAGTCAAGGTGACCTGACCTGACTAGGTTGGGTGCATTGGCTTAAGCCGGTAGGAGACTTGGACCTGCCTCGCATGGGCCAGTAGGCCTGCTGCAGTGTTCCTTCGTTCTTATGTTCTTATGTTCTTATGATGGGGTGTGAGCGGGAGACCCATCCTGCATGATGGGGTGTGAGTGAGAGGCCCATCCTGTGTGATGTGGTGTAAGTGGGAGACCCATCCTGCGTGATGTGGTGTAAGTGGGAGTCCTATCCTGCGTGATGGGGTGTGAGTGGGAGACCCATCCTGCGTGATGGGGTGTGAGTGGGAGATCCATCCTGCGTGATGTGGTGTGAGTGGGAGACCCATCCTGCGTGATGGGGTGTGAGTGGGAGACCCATCCTGCGTGATGGGGTGTGAGTGGGAGACCCATCCTGCGTGATGGGGTGTGAGTGGGAGACCCATCCTGCGTGATGGGGTGTGAGTGGGAGATCCATCCTGCGTGATGTGGTGTGAGTGGGAGACCCATCCTGCGTGAATGGGGTGTGAGTGGGAGACCCATGCTGCGTGATGGGGTGTGAGTGGGGAGACCCATCCTGCGTGATGGGGTGTGAGTGGGAGACCCATCCTGCGTGATGGGGTGTGAGTGGGAGACCCATCCTGCGTGATGGGGTGTGAGTGGGAGACCCATCCTGCGTGATGGGGTGTGAGTGGGAGACCCATCCTGCGTGATGGGGTGTGAGTGGGAGACCCATCCTGCATGATTGCAGGATTGCAGCACATTGCGGATGTATAAATCTTTCGAAATGATAAAAATCGCCTTTCACCTACCTACCAAATGCCTACCAGTTGCCCAGTACCTACCCACCACCTGCCCACCACCCGCCCACCACCTACCCAGTACCTGCCCACCACCTGCCCACTGTTACGGTTCGAATCTTAGTCTTTAGCCAGGATAGTGCTCTCCGTAATAAAATCACTTCCAAGAATAAGAAGGAACTCGCAACCTCAGAAACGTAAGGCGCCAATGAGAGGTACTCAGCATTTTCTGTTTTTTTTTTTTTTTTTTTATTAAAAAGCTTTAATACTTCTTGGATATTCGTAAATATCTACTAAGTATTACTTAGATTCTTTCAGTCAAATAAAAATTCAAAGTTGTATATATGCAATAGTACTGGTTTTATCAACCGTAAAGTAACACTTTCAATCACTTGGAATTCTACCCACGACACAGGTAGTCACGTCGTATACCGAAGATGTCTGGATATTACTGTCTACTGACTTCACCACAGAATTCCCAACTAAAGCCAGTTTAGGATTTTCTAAACTAGATTCTCTAGAGAGAACAGTACTGGAGTACTGGTAGGTCTGGTAAGACACTGTTCACCGAGTCAGCAGTGAGTGTAAACCCAACTTACACGGTAAAACCCTTCATGACGTCAATTCGTCATATGTATATATATATATATATATATATATATATATATATATATATATATATATATATATATATATATATATATATATATATATATATATATATATATATATATATATATATATATATATATATATATATATATATATATTATATATATATATATATATATATATATATATATATATATATATATATATATATATATATATATATATATATATATATATATATATATATATATATATATATATATATATATATATATATATATATATATATATATATATATATATATTATATATATATAATATATATATATTACAATCTAAATTTTTCGAGAAGAAAAATCTGAGAGTCATCTTTCCTTTTCGCTTCTTTTTATGCTATTGTTTATATTCTCCTTTTCCGTGTCTTCACATATTATTTTCCTGGCACTCTCGTCTTCTTTTCCCTATCCTCCTTCTGTTCCTCCTCCTCCTGTCTTCCGACAGCCATTTCCGAATTCTCCGTCTTTGCAAAGTGTTCCACTAACCTGTGTCTTCCCGCAGGTTTGGTTCCAGAACCGCAGAGCCAAGTGTCGCAAACACGAGAGCCAGATGCACAAAGGTAAGAGCTGGGGAGAGGGAGGTGACATGAGGCAGGGTAGCTAAGGTGGGACAGGGTAGCTGAGGTGAGGTAGGGTAGTTGAGGTGAGGCAGGGTAGTTGAGGTGAGGTAGGGTACCTGAGGTGAGGCACGGTAGTTGAGGTGAGGCAGGATAACTGAGGTAAGGCAGGGTACCTAAGGGTGAGGCAGGGTAGCTTAGAGAGAGGAAGGATAGCTGAGGGTGAGGCAGAATAGCTGAGGTGAGACAGGGCAGCTGAGGGTGAGGTAGGGTAGCTGAGAGTGAGGGAGGGCAGCTGAGGGTGAGGTGGGGTAGCTGAGAGTGAGGGAGGGCAGCTGAGGGTGAGGCAGGATAGCTGAGGGTGAGGCGGGATAGCTGAGAGTGAGGCAGCGTAGCTGAGGTGAGGCAGGGTAACTGAGGGTGACGCAGGGTAGCTGAGGTGAGGCAGGGTAACTGAGGGTGACGCAGGGTAGCTGAGGTGAGGCAGGGTAACTGAGGGTGACGCAGGGTAGCTAGTAAGCAAGTAAGTTTATTCAGGTATACACAAATATAGTTACATAGATTATCATACATAGCAGCATATGTGTAAAGTACCTGGGATAGCCTAAAAAATTCAGACAGAATTACTTATTTCTATTGGGGTCCTTTTACCTTATTGTTATATTATAAAGGTGATAATGTCTTATTATTATTCTATAAATGAGATAATATCTTATTATTATACTATTAAGACTATCTACTACACGAGGGTCATTAAGACTATCACCAATACGAGGGTCATTACTAGGAATAAGGTAAAATTACACGTGTGTTAGCTAAAAAAATAAAAAATCATTCCCCTCCCTTTCTGTAGCTACATTCATCAGACACCTTTTGGCACTCTTATTGAACTGGTTCATGCTATGACTGGCTTTGACATGTGCAGGCAATCTGTTCCATTCCTTTATTACTGTACAATAAAAGGTGTTTGAAGCCTGGCCACTGACTGTGGGTACTACAAAGTTGTGTTCTCTCCCCCTAGTACTATGATTGCTTTGGTTTCCAACCTTGACAAAATTGACAGCAAGATATTCTGGACACTGTGAGCAATTTTATAAACTTGATTTAGCTTCAGTTGTTTTACTCTGTCTTCAACATTCAGCATATCCAACTGTTGTAATTCATCCTGGCCTACATGTTCTCTTGGACCCAGGTCCAGGATGAATCTTACCATTTTGTTCTGGGTAATTTACAGTCAATCCTTCAGTATTTTGTCAAGGCAGAGTACCATGAAGAGCAAGCGTAGTCCATATGACATTGTATAAGGGCTAGACATAGGGTCCTGCGAGCCTCAGTAGGTAGACACTCTGCTCGTCGATAGAGGAACTTTAGTCTGGCATTCGCTTTCTTTACTACACTGTTCCCTATCAATTCTCCTGACATGCATGGGACAAAGGGGATTCCCAGATATCTTACTGAGGAAACTGAAGTGATGGGTTCCCCATTACACTGAACATTAAAATTATTTACCCTTCTCAGTTTATGTTTCGTGGCAAAGAGTATGGCTTCAGTTTTCCCGAGGTGTAATGATAGTTTGTTGTCTACTAACCATTTGCGGCAGGACTCCAGTTCCAGCTGTATCTTGTGGGTCTTTACCTGACACTAACAGAGCATTGTCATCTGCATACAGTAGGAGTTTACACTTGACACTGATAGGCATGTCGTTAACATAGCAAAACAATGGAAATATAAACACATATGCAGTATGTGATCCTTTATTGACAACGTTTCACCCACACAGTGGGCTACTACAAATTATAGGCTTCTTCCTGCGTGCACTCAGAATCTGCAGCAATGAGTTCCTTGAGGAAGAATGCACTATAATTGAACAAGTACTTTCTAAACTCCACTATCCTCGTCACTTCATCAGAGACTGCAGACGGCGGGCATTAAACATCTTCAACACACCCAGAGAAGACACTGCCGAGAAGAGATACATAGCCCTCCCCACCAACTCCATTGCCAAACATGTTTCCAACATCTTTTCCAATACATCATTCCAAGTATCCACCTCCACAACCACGACCATCAAGGACATCACCAGTAGTAGACAGGACAAGCCTCCATCCTCTGCAGGGGTATACATAATCCCTTGTAATGACTGCAACAAATTATATGTGGGCGAAACATCAAGAGACCTCCAAACACGTATTTCAGAACACCAATATGCAAGCAGGACTGACGATACAAGGAATGCCTGTGTACAACATCGCAATTCACACAACCATTTAATTAACTACAGCAACTCAAGACTTATCGCCACAGAAGACAACACTCAATACCGAAGAATCCTGGAATCATCGCTTATCTCTATAACCAACAATTTCAACCAGAACAACGGCTTCTATAACATAGCTGAACCACTCGCCAAGAAACTTCTTCATCGCTATCCCACATAAGAACATAGAACACTGCAGAAGGTCTACTCACAACTTGTCCAATACCCCTGCCAAGCTACCCAAGACTCTATAACTCCACCCGGTAGATCATCAGATGCAGCATTCTCCACCTGACCTCAACATTTTGAACATGACTATAAATACTCCCGTACCTTCCACCCCAGGTAGATCTGTGTGTGACTTGAAAAAACCTACTGTGTGGGTGAAACGTTGTCAATAAAGGATCACATTATACTGCATATGTGTTTATATTTCCACTGTGTCGGTATTTGATACCATTTATTTCCATAGCAAAACAATAATAAGGGACCCAGAATACTACCTTGGGGAACTCCACATGCTATCGGCAGGGGTTCTGATTCCGTTTTGTTGATTTTGGCAATTTGTCTCCTGTTGATAAGGTAGGACTTAAACCAGTCTAAAGAACCTATACCGTTTCTTACATAATATATTGTGGTTGACAGTATTGAAGGCCTTTTGCAGGTATAGGGTTACCATACCTATGAGGTTCCCTATCGACATTTCAGTTCTCATGTAATCCATCAGATTAATTAGGAAGGTGTCGGTTGAGTAAGGTTTTCTAACGCCTGATAGCTATGGAGAATGTTGTTGTTATTAAGGTACTTAAATACCTGACAGTACACCGCCCTCTCTAGAATTTTGGATATTACACTGAGTTTACTAACAGGCCTATAGTTGAAAGTTAAGACACATGTGCAACATCTGGATATCTTTATTGTAGACGTTTCGCCATCCAGTGGCTTTATCAATACAGATTCTAGGACATAATAGGAAGACAGTAGAACTATATACAAAAGATGAGGTAATCAGTCCCTCGGCCTTGGAGTTAGTGTTCACAGCATCGTGGTGGAGGAGAATCTCCTCCACCACGATGCTGTGAACACTAACTCCAAGGCCGAGGGACTGATTACCTCATCTTTTGTATATAGTTCTACTGTCTTCCTATTATGTCCTAGAATCTGTATTGATAAAGCCACTGGATGGCGAAACGTCTACAATAAAGATATCCAGATGTTGCACATGTGTCTTAACTTTCATATTGTCGGTATTTTATACCTTTCTTACACAGGCCTATAGTTGCTTACATCAGACCTACTATTTTTCTTAAAGATAGGAGTAGCTCTGGCCTCCTTAAACCCCTCCGGTACGGTATTAGTGGTGAAGGACAAATTTATTATGTGAGCAATAGGGATTGACAGTTCAGAAGCACCATCTTTTAGGAACTTAGATGGGATGTTATCAGGGCCGGAGCTCTTAGTGGGGTTAAACCTGCTTAGTTCTTTTTGAATAAAGTCATGAGATACACTTACTAGTTGACAACTGTTTGGGGTTACCCCTTTTTTGGTATAGTATGTTTGATGCAGCTGGTAGTTTACTTAGTAGTGTTGATCCGGCTGATGTGTAGTAGAAATTAAAACAATTTGCCACTGTAGTTGTTTCGTGGCATACCTGTTATCGATAGTGAGTACTATATTAGATTTATCTACTGGTTTATGGCTATACCCCAACTGTTTTAGTTGTTGTCAGAGCTTTCTGGGGTTATACTCTTCAATTTTTGAGCAATAGTGCTTTGCCTTTGCTCCTTTTATAAGTCTCTGCACTCTGTTCCTCACCTTCTGGAATTCATTTAGTGGTGCAATGTCCTGTCTGTTTGCTTTAAATCTTTATAGCAGCTGGTCTCTGAATTTCATATTATCTAATATCTCAGTAGTCATCCAGGGTTCAGTTCTTCGTTTAATCCTAACCTCTTTAACTGTTGCAATGTTATCAAGGATGGTAGTGAACATTGTTTTGAATTTTTCCCAGGCATCGTTTACCTCCGTGCAACTTGTTATCTCTGTCCAGTCACAATTGTGTAGCCTATTTACCAGTGTTTCTTTACTGTAGATTCTAGTTGACCTCATTTTTATTGTCCTGTGTAGGCCTATCCTATCCCTAGTGATTTTCCTGGTGCAGTAAATGATGAAATGATCACTAAGACCTGTGGTAATGACGCCTGACTGACTAATGTTCTCAGCGCGGTTACAGAGTATGTGGTCAATTAGGGTGGCTGAGAACTGTGTGATCCGGGTTGGTGTATTAATTAGTTGAGTGTAACTATTTAAACCTAGAATTTGCTTATATCTTTCGCTTAGCCCGTTATTTTGCTGCTGAAAACAGATATTGCAGTCACCCAGTATTATTGTCTCGCAATTGTTAGCAAGTTCGGACAAGACTCTGGAAAAATCTTCTAAGAACTGATCATGGGTGGGAGGGCGGTAACTAGTTCCTGCTAAGATGGGTTTGGCCTTGGGAAGCAGCACTTCAAACCATAGAATCTGAGGGTGAGGCAGGGTAGCTGAGGGTGAGGCAGCGTAGTTGAGGGTGACGCAGGGTAAATGAGGGTGAGGCAGGGTAGCTGAGTGTGAGGCAGCGTAGTTGAGAGTGACGCAGGGTAACTGAGGGTGAGGCAGGGTAGCTGAGGGTGAGGCAGCGTAGTTGAGGGTGACGCAGGGTAACTGATGGTGAGGCAGGGTAGCTGAGGGTGAGGCAGCGTAGTTGAGG